ATTGACTATCTGGCATAGCTGTCTAAAGGATTTCAAAAATTCAAACACTGTTTTGATCTCTTTCTCTATTTCCTTTTTTTTTCCCAACAGGAAAAAAATATCTTTTTCTTAAATTTATAGCACTTTTTATAGTATAGTTTATTATAGTCAAAGGCAGAATCGTTGTATAAACTCCTTATCGGGTCACATATTTTCCTCTTTACTCCCTCTCTTGTTCACAGGCTGCCATTTTATTGCTTTCAAAATGGAAAAAACAGCACCTAAAAACAAAATCTCTGCTGATGCAATGCTGAGCTAGCTCACCTTTGGGTCAAGGTGGCAGGACACAGCCCACCTACAATTTATCACTAAATAAACAGACACTATTTGTTCCACATCTCCAAATTTAGGTGGTTCAAAATCATTCCAATCCTTCTCTCCATGGCACTGTAGGGGTGGACTGATTGGAGTGTGAATTTTGCAGCTGCATTAACTCGTTAAAAATTATTGTTAGAGGGGCTGGCCTGGTGGTGCAGCGGTCAAGTGCACACGTTCCACTTTGGTGGCCCGAGGTTCGCTGGTTCAGATCCCGAGTGTGGACATGGCACTACTTGTCAAGCCATGCTGTGGTAGGTGTCCCACATATAAAGTAGAGGAAGGTGGGCATGGATGTTAGCTCAGGGCCAGCCTTCCTCAACAAAAAGAGGAGAATTGTCAGATGTTAGCTCAGGGCTAATCTTCCCCCTAAAAAAAAGAAAAAAGAAAAAATTATTGTTAGATTATATTCCTGTTAGATTGTGATCAATACTTTATGGCTGGAAAATCAGAGTGAGAAGGTGAGACTCCGTTTGAATTAATTTTCCTTACATTGCTTCTACATGGATCTATATCTTTTAAGCTACTCTATGTAATTAAGTATGAATATTTGAAAAAAATATCTGATTTACAAAGATCTCTTTGTCTTACCATCCTTCCCAGGCCATATCAGATGTTCTAAGAAGCTCACCTCAACTACCTGGAGAGGGAGCGAAGGATCCTATACCGCCATACTCTTTTTTCAAAAAACACGTATCCACAGACCATTTTCCCAAGGCTGTAAGAAAGAGAAAAATGTGTTCCCAGGGCTGCCACATTTCTTCTCTTCTCATAAAAAACCTTAGGGAACAGACATTTTCTCCAAATAAATGTGTGCCTTTATTGATGCCAAAGAATAAGTTCCTTAAATGTAGTTACATATGGTGATTAGACTTCTAAGATGGTCCACACACATACACAAAAAATATATTTCAACTACTTTAGGAGTTAAACTGGCCTGGGGTAGCTAGAGTGGGAGCTAATTATAGGTTTTAGAATTATTTCTGGGAAACATCACCCAACCTCCAGAAAGCAGACTAAATTTTTAGGACATAACCTGTGGAAGTTGGAGATTTCCCATATTTGAAACAGGTTTAAAGTCTGAACAACATTAACTCAAACAATTTTTAAATAACATAATTCAATCTATGTGCAACAGTGCAAAATAAAATAACAGCTTCTCAAAATATAATAGTGAATATGTTACATGAAAAACTTGAAAATGTAAAGCATTAATGCAAATGAAAGACTACCAGACATATTCAGGAAGGCATTCTAAGACTGGTAGCCAAGAAAATGTCTTACTGGAAAAAATAAATGTTATGGTTGATATATACATACAAAAGATGCAATAGGTCAATGTTAATCATATCATCCATTGCATTTTTTCACTTTGAAAGCACTGAGAGATCCAGTAGTGAGTCATAACTGTTACTTCCAAACTAGATCAATTTCGAAGGAGACCTATGGCTGAGACTAGCTGATAAATGTCATTTGTAATGGGAAACATTTGCTTCCTGGCTAGTTCAGTGCATTTAGGTAGACAGTAATGAGTTGCAGCTGAAGGGTGGAGATCCTCTAAAAAGAAGTATATTTTTTCTTTGCCAAATATAATGAAAAAAGTATGACTTCCAACTGCCCCACTATTGATATTCATTCAAGAACGATTCTTGCAATGTGACTCTTTCACAGGAAAAAAAAAAAAACCACTGGAAAATCAGAAGAGAAGATTTTTACAGTTCAATAAACAATATGGAGACGTAGGAAGAATAATCAAGATTTATCACTATAGAAACAAAAACAAATTAAAACAAAGAATAAATATGGCTTAAAGTACAGGAAAGTAAGTGTTTGATGAAACCGCATATTAGGATGGGCTGATTTATGTTTTAATTACAAATAAATCCCAAATCTCAGACGCTCAAGGCAATAAAGGTTTATTTTTCACAATGCTACGTGTCCAGCATGGATCTGGAAGGCGATTGTGTTCATCCTTGTCACTAGTATTTCCCTAATGAAAATGGGAAGGGAATTGCAGCACTATCGTACCTAACACTGGCATTAAATGACTCTGTATCACTTTCAGTTTCGTTTCACTGGCCAAAGCAAGTCACATGGCCACAACCAACTTCAATAAAGTAGAGCTCAATTCTACCATATGCCTGGATGGAACAAGGAGAATTGAAATATTTGTGAACAGCTTGAAGGACTATCATATCATATTTAATAAAAGAAAAACTAGGGGCTGGCCCCATGGCTAAATTGTTAACTTTGTGCCCTCTGCTTCCAGGGCCCAGGGTTTTGCACGTATGGATCCTGGGCATGGACCCAGCACTGCTCATCAAGCCATGCTGAGGCATTGTCCCACATAGCACAACTAGAAGGACCTACATCTAGAATATACAACTATGTACTGGGGTGCTTTGGGGAGAAGAAGAACAAAAAGAAAGAAAAACTGCTTATAGACCATGAATCATTTCACGCAAGTAGAGTCCATGGGAACTGTTAATACCAAACTGGAAGGTGTTTGTTAACTTCAAAAAATAACTTTCACATTTACTGCTCATCAATACATTAACGTCTATCCTTGAGATCAGACAGAAGGTTATGAGAAGTCATGAGAAATAGTCCAAACATAAATTTCAGGCAAAATTTTACGGGTCCACTAATATATTCTCTGTATGCTTACTTAGCAAGTCAAAGATATTATATTTTCTCATCAGTTTCATTATGGAGTGTGGTCTTTGTTAGTAGACTTCAACCTTTTATTTTATTTTATTTTATTCTACTCTTTATTTTACTTATTTTTTTCCTCAAGCTTGGCACCTGAGCTAACAACTGTTGCCAATCTTCTTTTTTTTTTTTCTTTCTTCTTTTATCTCCCCAAATCCCCCCAGTACATAGTTGTATATTTTAGTTGTGGGTCCTTCTAGTTGTGGCACATGGGATGCCACCTCAATGTGACCTGACGAGCAGTGCCATTTCCGTGCCCAGGATCCAAACCAGGGAAACCCTGGGCCACCGCAGTGGAGCATGCAGACTTAACCACTCGGCCATGGGGCCGGCCCCAACCTTTTATTTTTTTAACTCCAGAGGAAACCTTCACCCCCAGTAGGCCCCCGTTGGTGCTTATGTAGCACCATGGCATATGAAGACAGAGAAGTGGATCTGAGCTACTTGAACTGGGATGAGAAGCTCAGAGGCCCCATAGGGTCCTGAGACACTTCAGAGATGGTGGAATTCCCTTGATTACAGCTTCAAAAACACTTCTCAAAGGAAAGGAGTTGTCTGATTGTTCAACATGGGAGTTTTCGTCTCAAAAAGTCAAGAATTAGGTGTGACAATGGAGCTTTCAGTTCATTTCTATGATAATCTATTTAACATGTTTTTAAAAAGTAGCACAATATTTATTCTCCAATTTAATTATGTGATTCGTGTGACAATATCATTTGTATCTATCTGTGATTGTGCTATATTGACCTTAATAGAATATGTATGTGTTTATGTGTACATGAGTGAGACAAAATTTCATGAAATATAACCTGCCCTTACTATATGCAATAAACTCTGATATGTTCTATTCTATTCTTTGAAATTTTTTTTTTTTAAAAGCTGATTTCAACCCACTAAATTGGTTCATGACCCACTGAGGGATTACCACCACAGCTTGAAAACACTGACCCGAGAGAAGTTTCTACTTGGTGTACATTTCTCCTGGTGGTTTGCATTAGGACATTGATTAAACACTGATGGTGTTTGCAGATGCTATCAGATTGGAAAATGTAGCTAATGTGGCCTTAATAGGCTGCAACAATGGGCCCAAGAAAAAAAGTAGAGGTTTAAAAGAGTTAAATGTATAACCTCATACTTGAATCTAGAAGATGTAAACCATATATACCAAGTAGAGGAAATATTTTAAAATTTATTTTATTCTTGTGGAAGGAGATATGGCTTAAAAGTAGAATATACGGAAAACATTTCAGGATTTTAATTTAGTATAAGCAGGATACGAGTAATCAGTGTTAAGTGATTGCCAAAATAACCAGGTGAAACTGAATAATCGGATGAAGAGTCCCTGAGAGCCTTTTCTGAGGGTGGAGCTTACCCAGAGCTTTGTGTTTAGTTCGCAGGACCACATGTTAACCAGACGGACAATGGCAATGAGAACAAATTCAATAAGGACAGTGGGGAGAATCACATCACATGAGGGTTAATTGAAGGACCTAAGGCTGTGGAGTCTGAAAATATAAGACTAAAGAAATAGTGGTCCTCAAGTACCAGAGAGTCTGCTATTAAATCCCATGAAAGAAAGATTGTACTTGCTCCCTCTTCTCCTAGAGGGCAGAACCATTCATTTATTGATTTATTCAACAAACATCTATTGAGCACCCAGCACTGTTTACTAAGCCAGGTTTTAGAGGCGCAGGAGTAAAGGCAGCTCTGCCTGCCCTCAAGGAACCCACAGTCTAGTGGGGATGGAGGTCAAGTTCCAGCTTCTGAACTTGCATTTACGGCCGTGGCGCAGCACTGTTTCCTTGGGCTGGCAGGGCCCACAGGCAATGTGCTGCCTTCCACATGGGATTGTTTCATTGTCCAGACTCATAGTGTGTACGCTGTACCTGACCGCGTCACCATCCAGCAGAAGTCTTTCAGAAACTCCCAGTTACCTTTAGAATAAAATCTAAAATCCAAATGGCACTCAAGACTTGTTTTAAAAATCTCTCTATATTTTCATCAATATTTCCTGCCATTCCCCCAGTACTGTCTACACTCCACAGTCCAGCCATTCTGGAGCAATTTCAGTTCCCTGAATGTGCTGCGCTTTCTGACCACCTCCACAACTACTGCATGCCATTCCTCATCATTAGCCCCTGGCTGACTTGTCTACCATGACAACTCGGTCACTGCCGACGTCGCAAAGGCTCTGTGACTCTGGTTGGCCGTGTTCCATGATCCTTCCTCTGGGCTCCCATGGCACACAGTGCCCCTTTGTTACTTATCTTAGCGAACTGTCCCTTATCTATAAACTCCCCGAAGACAGGTGTGTTTCCTCTCACTACCTCTGCACCAGGCACAGTGGGTGGCACAGAGCTGGTCCTCAGCAAACACCTGTTAAACAAGTCAATGAATGAATGGTGCAGAATCACTTGGTGGTTCAGGTCTCATCAACAGATAAGTATCTATAACAGTCAAGCTGTTCATTGATCTTCAACTTTTGAAAATGAATCTAAATAAAAGAAATGTGAGAGGGATCTTAAAACCCACTTCAAGCTCGAGACCACTGTTGATCGCTAGGCAATGGGAGTCATAAATCAGTCAGGTAAGAGGAAGTACTCCAAAAACTTGCTTCCCAGGGACGTTAGAGGAGAGGATGAATTATTGACAGTTACCAGCAGAAGCTGATCTCCATTTGCTGGTTTGAAAGTTGTCCTGCATTGCAGGGGACACCCAGCATTTCTCTCCTGCATGAAAGGCTGGCACTGGGCAGTCCGTGTGTCAGGCAGTAAAACAATCTCGCATGAAGGGCAGCACGTTGTCCATGGGCTGTGCCAGCCAGAGGAAACAGTGCTGCCTTTGAGAGACACAAAGAGCCACTGTCCTTGCCTCCTTTTTTTTCTTCTTCAAAAACTGTAAGAGTCCAAAACTCACTGTGGAGATAACAAAGGCTCCTCGCAGACAGAAGGCTGCAGTCATTTCACCTGTAGAATTCCAGCCAAAACCAGCCCACAGGACACAACCCACAAGATTAGGGTAGTCGAGCATCCTTTTTACCTGGACTGTAATCTGAAAGAAAAATAAGCTCCACTGAAAACAGAATATCCCTTTTTTCTCTGCATCTGTCTGTTCTGGACTGTCCTGTCCTCATCAACAGAGGAAATCGGCTCCTGCATGCCAGGATGTCTTCATGGTAATGTTTTCCCCATATGCTAGTGTCTTCCATGATGCTTCCATGGTATTCACATAATATAAAAGCCTTAAGAATTATTTCAGCAAAGACTGGTGACCATCCACAAGGCAAGTCCTGTACTAACAGGGAAGTTGGACTGGCTGACCGCTGGGATCCCTTCCTGGCTCTGTAATTAGAGGCTAGGAGAGGGAACATGTAATTCATTCGAATCTGTGGTCACCTGATGGTCACATTAATACCCAAATGGCTCAAATGTGGACAACGCTGCCATGGATTCAAGTGCAGAGGGCAAGGTTTACTAAGAGAGAACAGAGGGTAGAGGCAGGCTAAGAGGTAGGGCTGCTGTTAAGAAGAAAATTGACTTAAATCTACATGGGACACTTGCTGCATTTCAGGCAGGGGCTGGAGACACGGAGATGAAACTCGGATTGTGTTTAGATGAGTCGTGAAGACAGACCCACACCTCGGCCATTAAAATACAATGGAATCGGTGCCATGATAATTCTGTGCTATGCAGGTAGCACAGAGACCAGTGTCTGGAACCAGCATGCATAAAAGAGGACTTCTTGAATGAGGTAACAAGTGAGTTTAAGTTTAAGAATAACAGCTGAATTAGGTTGGGAGGAGGATGTGGGAAGATATTCTAGGTAGAAGGGACAGCCAACGCAAAGCAATAAAGCACAAGAAAACATGGCAGACACGGTCAGTTGCAGGTAGTTCCTGGGCACACCTGGCATAGAGGATACGTGTGAAAAGATGACAGGGGATGCGTTGGAGAAATAGGCTGAGACCCAATGGTGAAGAACTTTCCTACCATGCATAGCAGTAGGGAATTGACTTCAGTGATGAGAAGGTGTGGGTCCCAGAGCTGTGGGGAATAAGAGCTGCTGCCTGGCAGTGACTTGGGGTGGGAGCAAGACTTCAGAGAAGGAAAGAGACTACAGGAACTGGACTTCGCAGCCTAGTCACAGACTCCCGTATCCCAATCATGGCAGGAGAGTGACTGAAAGGCCCACGTGGGCCAGCGCAACAGACTTCTCAAAGATAGACTAGAATCCCTTACTCCTCACCCCCAACTACATCCTGATACTGTACAAGGCTCTAGGACTCTGTCTGGGGATGTGAGCGAGAAAGCTCCAGCAAGATCTGAAGTTAAATTTCTAGTGACCCAGAGGGTTAAGGCTCAGAGAATACGTGATTTAAAAAAATGCACATATATACAAAATATTTATAAAAATATAAAAGAAATGTATATATATTTTATATATTAAATAAATTTAATATAAATATATATATTTCATTTACATCAGAATTTGTAGATTGAGATTTACGCCTACCACATGTATCATCTTATTTAAGACTCACAATAACCTTATTTACGAGGTATTATTATTCTCATTTTTCAGTACTTAAAAATGGAGGCTACATAAAGAATGAGAAAATAAAAAGAAATATTCTCATTCAAACACCTCATTTTACACCTGAAGTGACCAAGGTTTTGGGAAAGCTAAATGGTCTTCAAGTTCAAAGACAGGTTATACAGACTTGCATTTTTTTAACTCTGACACATTGTTATTGCTTCCCCCTTTATAAGGCAAGCACATTTGAAAGGTAAATTTCCTGGACATTTTCTACTTTTGAAACATCGCTTATAGCCTAGGATGATAGGAACATGTTGCAGGCCACAGAAGGCCCTGGGTCCCACAGGGTTAACCTCTTCCTGAAATATCTCCCATCCCAAGAGAGGCAGCAAATACCAGGAAGGAGAGAAGGGAAACTTCTAGAAGGGATGCGGCTGTTGCTCCTGGGGCGAAGAAGTGAACCCATGGGCATTCAGCTTATTGAACAATGCCAACAATGCCAGTCCTCTGCCAGAGTAACTGAGCTAGCCCAGAGGTCCAGAGCATCTTGGTTGGAGGCAGAAGTTCCATCTCTGCTGTCAACCTGCTCTTGGCTTAAGGAAGAAACTACTATTTCTAAGAACCTACTGTGTGCCAAGAGCTCTTACCTGTGTCATCTGATTTATTCGTAGAAAGAATACTGTGAGAAAGATATTATAGTCTACTCTCTGTAACCACGGTTCTGCACCCATGGATTCAACAAGCTAGAATCAAAAGGCCTACGACGGTTGCATGTGTACTGAATACCTACAGACTTTTCCTCTTGCCATTATTTCCTAAATAATACAGTATAACAACTATTTAGATCGTATTACAAGCGATCTAGAGATGATTTGAAGCATACAGGAGGATATGCAGTTTAGATGCAAATAGATGCCTTTTTATGTAAGGGCCTTGAGCATCTGTGGATTTTGGTACCCACGGGGTCCTGGAACCAGTCCCCCAGGGATACCAGTGACGACTCTATTTCCACTTAACAGGAGAGGAAAGTGAAGATAAAGAGGTTAAGGGTCTTGCCAAATTCCCAGTGCTAGGAATCAGAAAGGCTGAGATTCCAAACCAGCTCTTCCTATCCCCACACCCATTGCTTTCTTTTGTTCCCCATGGCCACTCCTCACTCATTTCTATACCGCCCTCCCTTACTGTTTGTCCATTCGTGAAAAGGGCTAGTGAAACAGTCCTTCCCTTCCCTTCAGGAAAACTCAGTGAAATAACGTGAAAGTATTTTGAAAGAAAAAGATGTATATGTCAGGATTCTTGTAGCCAAAAGAAAGGTGGAATCAGACTTTGCAGAACCAAATAGCAACAGCTTAAGTCCCCAGACTTCGTGCAAACACACAAAACCATGTTGATTCCATTACTAAGACAGGAGAGGCAGGGAGGAGGGAAAACACGCTGGACTTCCCAGTGACTGTTTTTGGAAAAAAACAAAACAAAACAAAAAACCTCGGTGAGCTAATCTCGAACGCGAGGAACTGCTCCTTTGTTGTCCAGCTGCTGCCTTCGAATCCTGTGTTTGTGTTACCCACAATTGCCACGGAAGTGTTTCATTTCGTTTATTTATTATTTATATCCCAAGAGAAACGCAAGGCCTGGAAGTGAAGCTTTTTTCATTTTCATACACTAGATTCATATCTCGACCACTTTGTTTTGCCGATATGTCAGCTTAAAAATTACAGAGCTAATACAACCACCAGCCGAGAGGGTGAGGTACTCTCAAATTCAAATATTTGGATTTGACGCCGAAGTCTGATGCCAAGGACATGCTGATCTGCGACTGAAGAGCCGAAACACAAAAGTCCCAATCTTATTTTCTCCTGACTATGTCACAGGGATGCACTGCCGACTTAATGTCTTTAATCTGCCTTGCTGCTTCCAAAGCCACAATTAATCAGAATCCATGCAAGGGCCAGCCCTGTGACAAGCTGCCCCTGAACACAGCGCGGCTGGGACCGCAGATCCCCGCCGACCCTTTGTTCCATCGGCAGAAGATTCTCTCGGTGGCCAGCTGAAGGCCTTTTCTTTGTGTCGTGATTGACAGACATGAATTAAATATCACCCCACTGGGCTCTCTGATTGGTGAATAACGATGGATTACAAGAATGTCTTGGGAAAATGGCGTTTTATGATAGGGGGACAGTACCAGAAAGGCAGAGCTTTTCCAGCTAATCCTGAACTTGACAACAGCAGAGACCTTCATTTTAGGCTCTGATTTTTTTTTAGTTCAATATGCCTTGTTCAGGTCCCGAAAGGAATGATCCTGGAATGGCCTAAGAGAAGAGGATGAAGCCAAAGAAAGTAAAAATTGGGGGGAAAGAAAACGATCGTTTTCTTTAAAAGACTCATGTTTCTGGAGATGTGCTTGAAGGAGTCTCTTCTAAAATGGGTCTGGCATTGTCCCTGAGGCATGTTGTTCTTTCTCAGTTTATCAGCGCGGCAACTAATGTTCCTTAGGGCAATGATGTGTGCTGCAGAATCCACCCTATTCCCAGCATCCTGCACGCAGTCGTGGGCATAAACAGCTCTGCACACACAGCCCTCTGGTTTTGAATAAGCAGAAACGGTGCATTAAGAAAGTACAGAGAAATGGGGGAGCAAAGAAAGGCATCCCAGAATTCTAGGTGACACAGCACATATGCAGCTAACTAGATGAAGAAGGAGGTGCAAAATGACAAAATGACATAAACAAACCTGTCATCTAGTCTATGAACTGGTGAGGGGATTAGATGAGTGTTCATTTCAAAAACGTTGGGTAAGCTGGCTCAGTTGGTGACCCTCTAAAACAGAAAGGAGTGATTGTAATGCGAGCTCTCACAGCATCATTAGTCTTAGTTTCTATTTTGTGAATGATATTTTCTGATGCATCTAACATATATTCCAATGTGAAAGGAGGCTGGATTCTTAGGTTTGCCAGGGAGGTTTGCTATCAGTAATACCGTTGGAGGAGAGTGTCACAGCAGAATCTTTTGCCCAGCTTTCGATAAATATCAAAGCTGTTTTGCCACTGAGTTGGGCACAAAGATTCCTTCTACAAGATGAGAAGAAGGAAGAAGTATTCAAATGTTGGCCAGACTTCAGGCAGTAAAAATGTGAAAGTGAAAAAGGTGACAAGCTAAAGTTTGTTCAGCCTGGGGAATTATTACTAGGTCAGGAAAGGTAGTGTCAGGATTAGACTAGAGGATCAGGGACCAGCTTATAACCCTCACCTAGGAACACTCATGGGCCCCATCCAGGTGAGCAGCCAAAGAGAACTGGACAGTAATATCTGAGGGTCAGGGGGCTGCTGAGTCGGGAAGTCCGGCAGGTCAGCCATGAACAAGCCTGGACTAGAGGGGTGATAACAGATTAAGCAGCACACTGGCTTAGGAAATGAGGAGAAAAGTTGGGAAAACAGTTCAAAATCCTAGTAAGAAATTTGGGCAACAGGTAGAGTCCATAGCACCAGAAACATGCTCGAGCCAAGGAGTTGTCTCAGCCTGGAGGCCGTCATGTTCTCTGAAGAAGCGAAAGTGAATCTCGGCACGGCCAGGCTGAGTAGGCGGGGTGGCCATATGTCTCCAATGGGGTGTGTTGGAGGTGGCGGGGAAGGGAGAAGAAGCACAAGGCAGATGTTTAGGAGTGCGAAGCTAAGGAGATAACCACCTACCTTTTCCGACTGCTGGAAATGGCCTCCTTCTTTCAGGATTAAGACTTGGGAGTTTTCATGTTCATGGAAATTATAATCAAAGCAAGGTCTTTATTTAGAGAGTGCACAGTTTGAGTGAACTGCTGTGACAGTGGTAAACAGATGCCTGGGGGTTGAGCTATGCAGCAATGCCAGCCCCGGGAGCCTTCCTAAACTGGAAGAGCCCTACTCTGGGAGGAAATGTGAGTAATAACAAATATGCTTTTTTAGTAGATCAACAGCTTGCTGAGCTGTAACATGGCACATCCCCACCCCCTCCCACCATATTTTTTTCTTCCTAAAGTACACTGTGTTGCTAGGAAGATTTATTAGCTGTGTGTTTCTTCAACTCCTTCTTGGATCCAAACAATTCAGTCTTAATGTCTTGGATATGATGTCACTGAAGGGAATGGGATTATTAAGGAGTCAGAGAAGTGGACTGGGCAGTGATGGAGTGTTGAGTTTGCTCGGGCTGCCATAACAACGTACCACAGACTGGTAACTTAAGCAATAGAAATTTCATTCTTTTGCAACTCTGAAGGCTAGAGGTCTAAGATCAAGTTGTCAGGCAGGGTTGGTTTTTCCCCTTGGCTTGTGGATGGCCATCTTCTCCCTGTCTTCACATGGTCTTTTTTCTGTGTGTCTATATCCTAGTGTTCTCTTCTTATAAGGACACTGGACTTATTGGATCAAAACCCACACTAATGACCTCATTTGACCTTAACTAGCTCTTTCAAGATCCTATCTCTAAATATATTGTGAGATACTGGGAGTTAGAACTTCAACATATGAATTTGGGAGGGAAGACACAATTTAGCCCATAATATGCCACGAGCAGCCTCCCTGAATACCCAGGAGACACAATTGCTTTGGGGTCTATAAGACTGTTGTAAAATAGTCTTCACATAAAAACAGAATGTTTATGGACCTATAACCAGTGGATTTTCATTTAATCAATCATAGACCCATTTATTATCATAACCCTATTATTATCACATACCATACAATTAATTGTCCCATCAATATCAATAAATATTTATTGAACGAATGAATAACTCTTTTCTCTTGAAAAGACCCGTCCTTCCTTTGGAAGGATTTGACAGTTGAGAGATGGGCCAAGGTCTCAGGTTACTCTGCCGATTGCCTCCTATTGAATGAGTTGCGGGCAGTCTCTAGTGGACTATAAAGCATCATAAATAATTCACATTAAACAACCCTTGTCAAAATAAATTAATAGAGTGCTGTTTATGACACAGTCACTTCAGTTTCTTCAAGTCTGTTGGCTTGCTCACCGACTTGAAAACTCTAACACCAGGTACCGTGGCTGCCTGCTATGAGGATGAGGTCCTCTCCTGGGGAGGGAGGGAGAAATGCTGGGCAAACAGCCTCCTTCAAAATGAATTTCTGTGAAAAATACTGGATCAGCAGCCATGAGGATAGGGATCCTTCATTATAGGCTCAGTCCAGAGGAGAGTCAAACAAGCTCCTGGTTAATTTAACTGGCCTGTTCCATGTGGGTTTATTGGCCCTGAGTAGCATGCAAGTCTCACCCTAGAAGATTCTAGCATTAGTGTGTTGGTCATGGCCCCTGAAGACAACCCCCTGCTCCAGGAACATAGTTTTCCCTTGGCTAACATTTTGTCACAGTCACAGCAGCCATGTGACAACCCCGTGTCAGGAACATCTCTGAGTCAACACGGTACTCAGAAGGAAGGACAAAGCTGCGAATCAGAGCTAGGAAAAAAGGTGAAGAACTGAATTCTGTAATATCGAAGGGCCAAAGATAGGCTCATTCTATTTTTTATTGTGGTAAAATATACATAACACAAAACTTATTATTTTAACCATTTTTCAGTGTACCATTCAGGAGCATCAAGTACATTCACATTGTCGTACCACCATCACCCTCGTCTATTTCCAGAACTCTTTTCATCTTCGAAAGTGAAACTGTGCTCACTAAGCACCAACTCCTCATTCCCCCACTTCCTCCATTGCCTGGCAACCACCATTCTACTTTCTGTTTCAGTGAATTTGACTTCTCTAGGTACTTCAGATAAGTGGAATCATACAATATTTGTCCTTTTGTAACTGGCTTATTTTACTTAGCACGATGTCTTCAAGTTTCACTCACGTTGTAGCATCTGTCAGAATTTCCTCCCTTTTTAAGGCTGAAAAACATTCCATTGTATGTATATACTTTACTTTGTTACTTATTCATTCATCAGTGGACACTTGGGTTGCTTCTACCTTTTGGCTCTTGTGAATAGTGCTGCTATGAACACAGGTATACAAATATCTATTGAGTTCCCTGCGTTCAATATTTTTGGGCATTTACCCAGAAGTGGAGTGGCTGGAAGGGCTGATTCTGAAGTCGTTTCAGGACATTTTCAAGCCCAGGAGGGAACAATAGAAATAAACAGAAACACGCACTGAGCACTGGAAGTGGGGAGGAATTGGGAAGACACAGCTGGGCAAAAAGGGTCCAAGTCCGGCTGAGGAACATGGGCAGTAGGAGCTCTATCCTCAGCCTCCTGAGATATTGGTTACCCCGAAGGATTTCTGCTTTGAGTGTATGCATCTCCTTTGGATCCCAAAGCTCTACGTCTCTACTATTCTGCCATCTCGTACCACTCTCTACACTGGAGGTTCTTTATACATGTACCTTAAGTTTCCTGCTAAACTGTGAACTTCCTGAGGGCAGCAACTATGCTGAATTCGTCTTGAAGCTCCAGTAACACCTAGTATAGTCTCTGGAGCACAGCTGGTGGTTAATAAATGTTTACTAGATAGATGAACCTAATATTAAATACTAGAGAAACAGACCTACTTGCTCATTTCCTGGAATTCTTCAAGGAAACCACCACGGTCATGTCAGCTTAGATGTTATTAATAGCAGTTGAGTAAGCAGAGGAAGTAATAATACCACTGTGGGAAAATTAGGCCACCTCCTAAATCCCATGTGCAGTTCCAGATCTGCCATAAGTAGTCTCTATCCTGGGTACTGAGGATAATCTAGAAAGAGCTCAGGGGAAAGGTAAGCAGAAAAATAAAGATTCTAGAAGCTGTCAGGTGGGAAACAGTTGAAGGAATTGACTGTTTAGCTTGGAGACAAGAAGACCAAGGAAAGAGACATCATGAATGTTTGCACATATTTGAAACGCTGTCTTGTAGAAGAGGAAGCAGGCTTGGTTTTACTCCATAGGAAGAAGCAGGACCAATGGGTTTAAGAGCAAGGAGACAAGATTCCACATAAGAGAGAACCGTTAAACTTAAATTTGAGCTCTCCAACAATGGGATAGACTGCTTGATGAGACAGTGAGTTCCGTGTCTACACAGAAATGGTCAGGAATGTGGTAGAAAGGGAAATACATACTGGGTCCTGTAGATTCTTGTTTTGACCATCATAATCTTTATTTCTAAGCCTCTAATAGTCTCCTTTAAAAAAAAAGTCCCGTTCAGTTTCAGGGATGCAATATCCTCTCTTCTCTCTCTGATATTACCCCTGGGTCCTCAGAAAAAAAAGAGCTTCCCCTACTGAGTTTGATGTCACCCTTCAGGATATGAGTTTTTCTCAAATGATTGACCATTCTTAGCTGTGAGCTCATTCTTGTGGCCGCAATCTCCTTGTAGTCTGTCTGCTTCTTAGCATTCTCAAGCAGGAGTGGGAGATACCTAGCATCAGGCAGGGTTTGCCAGTAGTTAGTCTTCTGGGTATAGGGATTGTCCATTATCTCTGGATGTTTCCAAAGCATTCTTCCAAAGCTTACATTCTCTGCTCCTGCCTGAAGGCAGACATCTCTACTTGGCAAGGAGGGGTCCGTCAGAGCTTGTCCCGTCTGGCTACTCCTCTGTGCTTCCGTAACCACTCACCCCTAGGTTTGCCTCTGGGCTCCCCTTCTGCCCCTCATAACTGTGACCCCCAAGCTTGGGGTTGGAGGCTTGGAGCATTCCAGAATGATTTCTTCCTTCTACAATAGCCTTTTGGTTTTTGA